TGGAAAATAGGAGATTATGACAATGAAGGAATTATAGTGGCAGGTGGGAATGGACGAGGAAATCAACTCTATCAACTTAATTATCCTGCTTTTATCTTTGTTGATGAAGAACAATCTGTTTATGTATCAGATCATAACAATCATCGCGTTATGAAATGGAGAAAAGATGCAAAAGAAGGAACAATTGTAGCTGGAGGAAATGGTCATGGAAAAAATCTGAATCAACTGTATCTTCCTCAAGGAGTAATTGTTGATGATTTAGGTCAAATATATATAGCAGATTGTAACAATAATCGAATAATGCGTTGGTGTGAAGGAAAAGAAGAAGGTGAAATTGTTGTTGGTGGAAATGGAGGAAAACATAAACCAAATCAATTGAATGGTCCCATGGGTTTATCTTTTGATGATGAAGGCAATCTTTATGTTGCTGATCATTCGAATCATCGAATTCAAAACTTTGAAATAATTTTGTGAATGAATTTTAGTTTTGCTAAAAACAAAATTAATTTTTTGTTAAATAAATAACCGAGAAACAAAAGAAAAAGTCAAATTTTATTATTGAATATTAACGAAAAATCGAATAAAATTTGAAGAAAGAGAAGTTGTTGATAAGAAAAGTACGAAGAAAAGTCTTTTTTCTAGTACGTGAGCGTGGGTAAATAAAACATGAACCTACGCCTACTCATCCGTATTCACATCGACACTTACACCCTTTTCATCGTTACCTAAAACTTCTTTTACTTTTGATTTAGTCTCGCCACCTAAACCTTCATCATCAGTCTCATTAAAACTTCAAGCTGATCTTCGTTCATTAACAACACATCCTTTAATTAAAACAGAAATATAACATGTTCATCTTTTCTATCAGCAAAACTTCAATCAATTTCATTCACAACTGGAACATTTTCCTCAAGAACAACGGATAAATCATCTCGTTTATCATCAACAAATCAAGGACCTTTAAATATAAATCTACCACAAAAATTAGGTTAATTATCAATTGAATATTTTCTATCTATTTTTTTTCTTTATTCAGCATCAACAATTAAAACGGATTCAACTTTCATATGTATAAATTTTGATCAATTCCTTCATCAAATGACTTTTCAACATTATTATCTTCTTTTAAATGAACAAATAATAAAGATTCTGAATTTTGTCCTGATTCAAATGCACATGATCATATAAAGCATAGACGTTGTTTGATTGAAATTTCATTGTGTCAATAGCATATGTAGATCATTTATATATCGATGAATAAATATATCTGTTATTAAATACTAATTACGATTAGTTAAAGAGAATTTTAAAGGGGATAATATTGATGGGACGAATATGTTTCCAGTTACAGTGTTCCCACGAGATGAGTTTATTACAAATTTTAATTCTAACTTATCAAAATAAAATATATAAAAAATAATATCTCTTTCACCATTTTAATGCAATTTTTTTCATGTTAAATATTCTCTAACGAAATATAATGTATGTGTGCTATCATCGTGATCCTGTTCGAAGACATTTAGTTTATATTAACAAAGAAATACATATAAGAGAACAGTATGATTTTATATTTACTAGTAAACTGCTTATACTTAGATGTGCAAATAGTTAGCCAGCCACATGCACGCGTGTGTACATAACTGACTAACCATGAACACGTGTGCATAAACACTTTCTTAAATTTATATCTAAAAAGAGTAGATACATACATTATTCATTTCTTCTATAGTCTTCTATTCAAAGACATGCCAATGGCAAATAACAAAACACAATGTTTCACATGTAATAAAGAAAAAATTACATATTCTTGTAAAGGATGTTCAAAAGAATTTTGCTTTATGGATTTAGCAGAACATCACAAAAGATTAAATGAAGAACTACATCATATCATTGATGATTATAATGCATTTAAAGAAAGAATTAATGAACAAAAACAAAATCCACAAAATCATGCATTAATAAATCAAATTGACCAATGGGAAATAGATTCAATTGAAATAATTCAACAAAAAGCGAAAGAGTGTAGAGAAATTGTCATTAAATTATCTCAAACATGTATTAATGATATTGAGAAGAAATTCAATGATTTAACGGAACAAATACAACAACTTCAGAAAGAAAATGATTTTAATGAAATTAATTTCAATTATTTAACAAATCAATTAATAGAAATTACAGAAGAATTAAATAATCCATCAAATATTTCTATTCAACGAGAATCACAATCATTTATGAAGGAGATTTCAATTGTTTTATCAAAAAGTAAGTTTTCAACAAATAATCTCTAAAAGAAATATATTAATTTTCGACGAAAGTATATTGAAAAACTGTAAAACAATAAGAACTAGGAATGAAGAAATGAAGAAATATTGAGAATACTATTGATTTTTTTAATCAGTAATATTAAAATTGATAGAAATACAAAATTTAATTTATTTATATATAAAATAAAAGAATGATAGGAGATGAAATAATATTAAATTAAAAATGAAGTTTTCTTCCATTTGAAACAAAAAAATTTCGAATTTGTCATATAGCTATAATAATAATTTATCATTTTATTTCTTTATTATTTTTATCGAATAAATTGTTGCAAAATAAATATATTCTATAGAATTTATGATAGTTACACAATAGAAAATAGATAAGTGAGATATTATAAAAGATTTTGTGATTAAAATTCTTCTGATAAGAATTTATTTTTATTTTCTAAATACAAAACTTCAAATAATTTGTTTTTTTTCATAAAATTCTTTTCAAAATTCAACTATTAACAAAAAAACAAGCTCAAGGTTTCATTGAAAACTAATCTTTTCTTTTTTTCTTCGATAAACAACAAAATTTTCTTCTTCTTTTCATCAAAATCTTTTATTTTCATTCTTTTCTAGAATCAAAATTCAATAAATGGAAACAAAATGGCATCACCGTAGCTGGTGGAAATGGAGAAGGAAAAGAATTAAATCAAGTCAATCGCCCTACAGGAATCCTTATTGACAAAAAGAAAAATATTTTCATCGCTGATTCTTATAATCATCGTATTGTTGAATGGAAATATAATTCAAAGAAAGGAAAAATTGTTGCAGGTGGAAATGGAGAAGGACATCGAATAAATCAATTGAACTACCCAACAGATGTGATTATTGATCAACAAAATCATTCGATCATCATTGCTGATTATAATAACAGACGAGTGATTCAATGGTTGAATCAAAATCAACAAATTCTCATCGATAATATTGACTGTTATGGCCTAGCAATGGATAAAAATGGATTTCTTTATATTTCTGATTATCAGATGGATGAAGTGAGACGGTGGAAAATTGGTGAATACAACAACGAAGGAATTTTAGTTGCAGGTGGAAATGGTGAAGGACAGAAACTCAACCATCCTACTTTTATGTTTGTTGATGAAGACCAATCGATTTATGTATCAGATGGAAACAATAATCGTGTGGTGAAATGGAAAAAAGGTGCAAAACAAGGAACAGTTGTAGCTGGGGGAAATGGTCAAGGAAGAAATCTCAATCAATTGTCTTATCCTCGAGGAGTAATTGTTGATCATTTGGGTCACATCTATGTGGCAGATAGTCAGAATCATCGAATAATGCGTTGTTGTGAAGGAAAAGAAGAAGGTGAAATTGTTGTTGGTGGAAATGGAAAAGGAAACGAATCAAATCAACTGAATAATCCTTATGGTTTATCTTTTGATAACGAGGGCAATCTTTATGTTGTTGATGGCTGGAATCATCGAATTCAAAAATTCGATATAGTTTTGTAATTGATGTTTTAATTTTGTAGACAAGAAAACAAAATTTTTGTTAAAATAAAAAATGACGAAATAGAAACAAAAAAAACGTAAAGTTATATTATTGAAAAAAGTCGAATAAATTTTGAAAAAAAAAA